GGAGAACAGACATATGTGAAACTCAGGCAAGTTATCTATAGAGCTTTAAGGTGTACATTAGCCACACATGATTAGTTCTTTTCCAGTGATGCAACACATCTTGGAGCAAAGTTTGTGTAGTAATTACCTATATGAAAGGAAACTCTCTGGAGGTTAACCTTAAAGAACAGCACACAGTACATTTGGTATCTAGCTAAGAATACAATATTGTCTTGTCTCTTTGAGGAATAAGAAACTAAACCACAGCTCCCACCATCGCTATCCTCTATGGTGCACATAACATTTAAAGGTTTAAGATATTTCACTAAACCTAAAATTATGTATGAACAATTTCAACAAAATGGCAGTTTTCCGATTTAACGTTAAAAATTTAAATAGAAGGTCTTAAATTGGGGAATCTACTGTACATCTTACAGGAGGTGCACAAAGCTCCACATAACTCAAGCTTGTTAACTGCGGAATGTTTTTTGCAAGCTGAAACCTGTTAGTGCTCCCAGCTAACTTTCTATCAAACAACATGTGGGCTGGAGCTTTCATTTCTTCAGAGGAAGCTTCAGATAAGGGATACAGGTGCCTGAAGTGCACTTATTATTATTTGCTAGAGTTTAGTTCAAAGAGCCTCTCAATTGGGAGGGAACTCCCTCACCAAGATAAACATCACATACTATGGCTTAAGTACACAAGAGGAGCAAAACACAAAACCAAATTTAATGAATGATGAAAAGACTGTAAAATGTCCATGGGTTGCAGCAAGATATTTCAAAATTTTAAGTCAAATGTGGATTTTTTCCTGTCCCTTCTTTAAGAAAGATGTACTTTTATCTGTAATTCTACCATCTACATTGTACACAAAAATGCATAATTGTTTGCAGACGGATATACATGCAAACAGCCACATTATAATAAATATTTGCCCTAAATAAGAGATTTTAAATACAATATCAAATTTCATACATTGTTTTGGAAAGAAGAACAATGACTGTTCTTTTTAAAACTCTGAAGCAATGGTAAATCTTGTTAGAACAGTCACAGATTTTCTTTGAAAAGCTTTGTGACAGAAACATTTTAAACTATTCAAACATTTTTGTATTGAATTATATTATTTTCCTTCCTGGTACTATAAGTGTTTCATTTCTAATGGTTCATGTCATAGTTCACATTTATTTCAGTAAATGTTAGTACAGTACACTACCATCACAAAAAAGTTACATAATTTCACATAAAACTTTTATCACCACTATGTAAGCTTTTAGAAAGAACACATACAGTAGATTAATTCAGCATTGTACCAAGAGTAACATGGCCCAAAGTTATGTGGACTATGTCAGAGAGCATTGCAAAGGCTCATTAAAATTTAACTAAAACATGTATTAGATTAGAAGATAATAAATCACTCACAATTTGAATAAAAAATAAATTTGTCATCTGGGACAGATGTTATGTTGTACATAATTAAACTGAGCTTTCTCACATTGCAAAGCATGTTTAAAACATGTCAAAATCATCTACTTGATCAGCTACTAAGATGATTAAAATATAAACTTGTTTTTAAAATGAACAATCTTATGTTTTAGTTCAAAGTATATTTGCCATATGCTCCAAAATAAAAAGCAAAAAGAGAAAGAGGTACTATCACAATCATTCATCAGACAAGAATATGGGAATTAAAGTATTTTAGTTATAAATGGACAATAATTATGACATGTTCAGTAAATATGAATATGTTCAGTAAAGCTTGTCCATTTCTTGCAATGTGTTGCAGAATTCAGCTGCAGAAGTGCTGGATACTTACTCTACACCATGTGACACAATGATTCACAATGATTTTTGTAAGGATGCAACTTGCCAAAGTTAATGAAATACAAAATGTAAAATCCTAAACTTATGGAAAATATTTGAATTACTATATATAGCACAAAATTTAAAAGGAATATGTCATGACTGTGTCTTAATTTATGCAATCATTAATCTTGATTTGCTGTCCACAACTATCAGCGCAACTTAAAGAATTGAGTTTGGCAGATTTTGTGTAATATTGACAGAATGACAGGGTTGAGTCTACTTGTGGATGTATTTGATTTTCTCTGCCACACATCATTTTAGACTTCTAAAGCTACAAATGTTGAATTTCTGAAAATGAAAGAGTATAAGTTTGTCACCATTCATCCTAGATAATATGAATACTGTACATATGATTTGTCAGACCATTCTTATTTTACAGTGTTATCTCTGGATTTATTAAATACACATTCATTATATAAGATTTATAATGAACAAAACATTAGTTAAACAGTTAAGCTAAATTACTAATTTATCATCTTTTAAGAACGTTTTTTTTCTTAAATCCCATTGCATTCAGCAGTCACATCCTGGACACATTTATACTCCTTGGTCCTTTTGCCCCACCTGGTGGTCGACTGTATGACTTGCAGCTACCATAATCGTGTTTTAAGTACAATACTAGCGATCTACTTTGAACAGGTAGGAACTTTGCAAGTATTGCTTTGTGCTCAAGTTTCTTTTTAGATTAAAATGGATACTGCTTAGTTGTAATTAGTTGTAGTTACTTAACATAAGTTACTTACAAAACACAAGTTAAAGGCTTTAAATAAGCCCCCACTATTGAGCCAATTAAAGGATCACTTATGTAATCAACATCTCAGTTGGAACAAAAGCAACCAGGAGGTTAAGGGTGTTTGGGAATACCAGTTTGAAAGTGGGGTTGCCACTCCAGATCCCCCAGATACTAATATCTTGTCCCGGTTTTTTGCTCCAACTGAGCACTTAATTATTTAACTGAGCACCAGGGTCAGTAAATAATGCCCTACTTAGAACTTACTGTATTGAGTTGTTTTCTGTTCAGCCTCATAGGTCTTCTACTGTTAATTTTTTCTATCAAAATACTGTTCTTTAAACTGCATAGTATTCACACTCAAGCTTGACAACCTCATCTTAGAGCCAGAAACCAAAATTCACAGTCAAATAAAAGGTTCACTTACAGCACTTAAGTTCAGTTACAATGAGAACCAGAACACACACTGGTGTTGGGCAGCCCTGGCCCAGAGCAGTCTGATCCAGTCTGGTTTACATTATGTTTAACACTGGTATTTAGACACCTATGGTGCAATACTGTAAATTTAGGTGTTGAGAACACCAGAAAATCAGAACAAATTTGCACGGGCGGTAAGGACAGAGTGAATGTGTAGGGACGCAAAGAGTCACAGTACAGTTCAGCGAAGGTTTAAGATGGATTCTCAGTTTTCCGGAGAACACTGGGAGAAGATTTCATACTGACAGGCTTACAGTTTTCATGGTATTGTTCCTCATTTAGTCTCTTCCCCCAGGGTAGTTTTTAAGCAAAATAAGACAGTAAAAAAAGTTTAGGCGAAAGTCCCTCTAAGAACCTCCTTACCTTCAATCATGGTGGTCTTGGGATGAAGTGGGTGAATTTCTGTTCCAGCTTGGCTCTTAATGTCCTCAATCAGATCATTATTGTCTTCAACCTAATCAAATTTACTAACTCATCTTTTCAGGTGTGGCTTTTTACAGAGACCTTAAAAACCTGCAAACAGTGAATCTCTAGCCAGGGATTGAACCACCTTGATTTAAGCTTATAATCAAACAGCACACTTTAAAACTGGACCAGAGTTTAAAACCACCCCCAAGTTGAAAGGAATTAGTGCACAAATTCAACCTTTACCTTTTCTGAGGTGAATATTCTTATACTGAGCAGCTGTCAAGTTTTTCCCACCATCAGACAGGTAACTCCAGTCTTCAATTGCTGGGGGGCCTGGACGTTTTACAGGGTAACTTTCAATTAGCACCCAGTGAACACCTGGAAAAAAAACATCTGACCTGACTACTTACCCACTAAAGATCAAAGACAGAATGAAATCCAGGAAGGCGGCACTTGTGGAGAGGAGTTACCAAAGCAAAAGGAAAAGAAAGTTCCAGTGAAGCAGGGGATCCCAATCCTGGTTCTGGAGGGCCTGTTTGTCTCCAGCTTTTCCATATCTCTTTAAAACACCAGCACCTAAAGAAATGGAGGAAGTTAAACTGGTCCAGTTAAGTCAACAACAGACTGATTCAGGTCCTTAGCAGCCCAACTGAACACAAAACCTGTGGCAAACTGACCCATTAGGCCTGAGATTACAGACCCTAGCAATTAAGCAATTTGTTAGTTCAATTAAGAGCTAACAATCACAATGTTATGGTTAAGAACAGACAGGTCTACAGGCCCTCAAGGATAAGGATTAGATAAGGCCCTACTTCCTAAACTGGGGTGGGTAGTCTTGATACTTGCAATTACAGGACAGCAGGTTAAACATTCTGCTAAATTAATGACTGAATTGACCCTAAATTAACCAGTGTGTCAATAATCTCAGGACAAGCTGCCTGGAACAAAAAAACACAGTGAAATGGATGTCATAAAGTTGGCAACTACTGTTCAAGAGTGTAAGAAAATCTTGTAGAAAGTAATACAATTTCCCAGTACTTGCTAACGTTAGCAAGTACTGGGAAATTGTATTAGTTTCTGCAAGCTTTTCTTACTAACAATGTCAAATACCTGAAACCTTTCAGCTGTAGCTGAATCTACCCTCCTTTGGCCTATGAAATGTATCCGTAGATTATGGTGTACCACTGTGAGATAATCAATACACAATGGCCCATATTTGTTCAATTCACAGTGCTCTCTCCTAACAGTGTTAACATAATCACCCCCAACCCCTTTACACTTCCCACATTACTCAACAGCTTTAACATTTTTAAAGCGTGCTTTTGCCCACTGACTTCTGGATAACAAGCAGCGACTTCAGGGGCCCCACTAAAGGTAGCCTTCCGCAATAAAAAGTAATCCCCTTCGTTGTGTAAATTGTCTTTCTTACATAATTTAAGGGCCTAGCATTAAGATAAATGTACTTACGCATTTATGTATATGTCTCTCATTGAGACTGGATTATGGGTTACCTTTTCATTTTTATTTAATAAAGGATTATTTGATGGATGCGGAAGAATATTCAAAAAGCGAAAGCGAGCAGTTATCAGCCGCTTGCAGGTGAAGACAGGGCGCTTTTTGAGCGTCGAAATTGGGAAGGTAGGGCGTTTTTTTTTTTGCAGGAAACTAATACTAGTTAAGACGAGTAAAGGTGATGGCCATTAATACCAACTTTGCACATATTGCTACTGCTGTTAAAACAATATTATGGGTTACTCCAGTATGTGCATGTGTCATTTAGCAACTATAAGGCCCAGCAACGGCCTGCATGCTAACTTTAAAAATAAAGCATGTTTAATTTAACGTGTAGAGTGAAACCAGTTTATAATGTTGGCTTATAAAAGTAATCAGCTCAGAATTAGTTTTATGAGTATAGCGACATGCATGCTGCATATGCCGTCTGTCGTTCAGTTGGCTTCGTGTTTATAAATAATCTTATATGAAATAGTTTTCGATCGGAATATTGTCTATATATTAAATGCATCATTAAAACTACTGCACTGACGCATAGGAAACCAGTCGGCACCGTTCACCGTTATTTTATTTTTCAGATCAGATCGCATTACATTTGGCGTGTTCTGAAAACAATATTTGGAAAATGACGTTACAGGAATACAGTGATATTTAAATAATGCATGAAAAGTAGAAATGTACTGGGGCATTAGCACTTAACCGCCTTTCACTCGCAGTATTAACATCTTTTGATTCAACTTTTGAAGTCGGTAGAAAAAAAGTGTGAACTCTGAATCTGGGGAGAGTGTCAGTGAGCAAGGAAGAGGGGGATTTTGTCTCCCGAAGAGACAGATATTTGTATTGTGGTCTGCTATATGCGCGGTTTTGTTTTAAAAAAAACAGCATGAAGGATTAATGCATTAGATTATTTAACATTACACTCTTTACATACATCTGATGGCACGCCCGTTAGAATCGGTGTTTAGGGATCGTGAGTGTCAATTCTGGGACCAGAACGCTCTAAATTTTAATCTAAGGTTCACAATTCACTTTAGTTACAGCAGATTTCTTTTCTTTCTCATGAATGTTGTGTCCCCCGGTAGTAGATGTACTGTAAATAGGATACAGGTTTTGAGGATTGTACTTTTTTTTCCTCCTCTTGTAGTGCACAGAAAGTACACCTTTAATCCACTTTCCCTACCGACTCGTGCAACAGAGAGCACAACCAGTTCTTTCTCCGGTGAACAAACTGGCGACTGTTCAAGGCGATTATATATTATTTTTAAGTAGTATAGTGGAAAGGGAAGGCCTAAGGACATTGCTACATGAGAAGGAAGGTCCAGTCTCTACTTCTCTTAAAGTGTATTGCGGAGAATAATTGAAAGCTTAATGAGAAAGATGCTGTTAAAACTAGTATTCGCGGAAATGAACTGCTTTATGCAAGGCGTGTACATGATGCTAAATTGACTAAGTTCTTTCCTAATAAAATTGCACGGTCAAATTTGCGTCGCCCCCGTCAGAAAGGCTTCCATGCATTTGTGCTTTGAGTTTTGTTACGTTAATATCATGAAACTATATGTTTTATTCTAGATTTGTGACTTTATTTTAGATCGTACCTAACCCACATGCAGGAGCAGAATTTGAAAGTGCCAGCAGTCAGGAGGTCTTAGTTTTGTTACGCCTGTTATAATTGCAATGGGATCGTCTACCAGTACACATTTATAGTCACTGGTGCAATACAGTATATTGTGGTGCCAGCTGAGCATATATCCCTACTGCTTGAGAGAAAAATAATACCCTTTGTTCATGATCAGGCCAACCCCAGTTGGTGGTAGAAATGTCCCTGGTGTCTAGTTGTGAAATGGACTGGACTGATCTTGATGTAAGAGCTGAGTGGGCTATTTCTGTGGCTGTCTGCATGGTGAAATAGTAGTAAATGATGTTGGTTTGTAGACCACTGAGTTTTAAAATAACGTATTAAAGTTGACCTGAATATGGAAGATGAGGTGCAAGTGTTCAGGTTTTGCTTTAGTATGCAGCGAAGGAGTGAAGATACTGTTTTTTATCATGATGCAATCTCTGTGTAAAGTTTACCTGTTTACATGTATCTGTATTAGGCCTAAATTGAAGAGCATTTGTGTAAGGAACTGTATCTGCTATATAAAAAAGCGGTTTAATTTTTACTTTAATTTCTGATGGTGATTTATTCACATCCTAAGAAATACTATTTGGAGTTTTAAGTATGAATATTAGACCGACGTTTCATAAGATGTTGTGAGGATGTCATATGTGATAGTATACACAGACTTTGGGACCTATAAATATTCTGTAATCCATAATAAACCTGCTTTTATTCTTGCTAAATGCAAACACCCATAAATGTTAAATTGTATGAAGGGTTCTTTGTTGCCTTGGTCTGTATATTATATTGTATATAATATAACTTCTTCTGGGGAAGTAGCTCGATGAAGTTAATTAACGGAGAAAAGCTTGTTCTGTGCTCTTGTTTTAGCATTAGGATGTCTGGAAGAGCGAGAGCCCGTTCCAGGGGAAGAGCCCGTGGGCAGGAGCCTTTGGTTCCGGGAGCGGTCAGTGATACTTTATGCTCTTCAAACCATAAATTCTTACGACGGATATGACATTTTTGATAAAATAGCAAGACGTGCATTATCAACTCCTTTTGAGTTACCGTATTTGGTATCACTTATGATT